ACCCCCACCCCCTCCCCACCCCACGCGTCTCTGTACTCTCTCAGCTCCACAATGCCTTATCAAAGAAACCGGAAAATATTTTATTTTAATACAATTCTGGGAAGAGGAAGGAGTCGGGGGAAAGGGCAGGGGTTGAGAAGTTTAAGCCACTGGTGTTTTGGGGGTACAATCAAGGAGCTTAGAACTTTTAATCTCCTTGGGTACAATTAAAGTACCTTTTTCTCGTCCTGTCATGAGCGAACATTAATTCGTAGATTTACCCTTCGATAGATAATATCATGTTGAAAAGAGGTAGACACCACACTAGATCCTGTAGTGTTTGTAGCCTAGTGGTTAGGTTACTGGACCCATAATCGTGAGATTGCAGGTTTGGGGTTTCGAGCCTCAGCTCGGTCCAACGTTGTGCCCTTGGGAAAGGCACTTTACGTGAATTTCCTATTATTTTGGCTGGTCATTTTGTCGATGGACTTAAGTCTCGGAGATACCGATTCGAAAGTAACCTGCTAGTGTGCATATGTGTGTTAAACCTTTGCCATTTCACTATTTTTTTTTTTACTTAAGTTCCGGAGTCTTCGTCTTTTCGTTCATATACGATATTATTTGTCTCCGTCGTTATTAACTCTAAACATAAACTGTTTTTCAAAGTAGACTTTCTCAATTATTTGTTTCTGAGGAATATTGGAGGAACCGCCAGCAAGTGATGAACTCCAAGCGGTGACGAGTGCCAGAAACTTATACCAGTCTTGTCTTGACATGGGTAAGTTCTTGGGGGAAATATTCCCTTTGCAACTTTCAACAATTTGTGCAATCCTACGAAAATAAAAAGAAACGGTTGAAGTTTTAAAATGTTAGGGCCTGTGAACGTTTTATCTGTTCAACGAGTGCAACGCCTGCTGTATGGCGTGATTACCGTAGAACTGGGGAGGAAACGTTAATATGTGGTGTAGCATCTTGACAGAGTAAGTAGAAAGAAAAGTGTTCATTTTCTGATATTTTGCAATGGGTATTTATAAATTACTGCCCCCAAACAGTTCCCAAATTAATGCAATACGGCATTTGAAAGTATAGTGATTGTACCATTGGCATCTCATGTGGTTACGTGTAGGCCTATACAACATGAAATAAACTTTTTTATACATTTCTTAAGTCACAACTCGGACATTTTTAACTTTGACAATTGTCTGACTAAAAGACCAAGATGTATTTGAAATGAAAAGATCTTGTGAAATATATTTCAGATTTTCAATGTTGTTTCTTTTATTTTTTCAAAGAAACAATGAACAATCGAGGTGACCAACACTTCAAGGATTGGCTCAAGGCCAATATCGGAGACTCTCCTCTTATCTCTACATCTTGGAACGACGTCACGTTTGATCTCACTGACGTCGTAATTAACGCCACCGAACAAGGGTCTAGCCTCCTGGTGGGCATCTATCCAGATGTCGATGACAAAAACTCGAGTGTTCACGTATTGAAGGTAAAGAGACCTGTTTATTTGATTAAAATGAGTTGAACGCCATATTTTACAACAGTTTTATCGTACACATTTCAGCCTGTTGGAATGATAGCAATTAGTATTCACAATTCTCGGCGTTGTTACTTGATAAGTATTCTTTAGGTAACTGAGGTCAAATATTACCTTTTTCATGAAGACCCCTCAAAGAAAGAAAGAACGAAAAGAAATAAAACAATAAAATAGTAAATAAAATTAAAGCATTTTCCCACTTGATTTCAGATAATGTATTAAAAAAGTAATCATTATTACTATTTTAATACAGATAGACCAACCTCGTTTGGGCATGCCGGGTCAGAAGTACTACCTGGTCCCCCGAAATGACACTATGCTCATGGCCTACCAGACATTCATCTACAGAGTGGCAGAGACCATGGGGTTTGCAGATCCCGTCACGGCTCAGCAAGATGTGGAGGACATTGTGGATTTCGAAATACAGCTGGCACAGGTGATGATAAAAATCCGTTATGTTAACGTTTGAGACGAAAGTTCAATAATTAGAAATCCTTGGCCTAGAGGTAATTCCTGTTACTATAAGTATACGGCACGCTATCTCCTTTGTATGCTTCTCATTCTGTCATTCAAATTTTCAGCATTAGCAACTCAATATTTTTACACTATTATTGAATGAAATTAACCCCAAACTAAGCAGAAATGAACTATCCCAGCTATAATATTATACAGTTTGTTTTTAAAAAAAGCAATGCCGTGAGGCTACTGAACCTGTGCACTTCATCCAAAGAGCTAAACATTCCTAAGTACTATGTGCGCGGCAAAATGGTTCTGAAGGGTTATAGTTTTATTTGTGTTCACAAATTATAGTACCAATGAAGTCACATAGGTGCGTTTGGATTTAGGACCGAAGACAGACAGAGGGTAAACTCTTCGATTTGATTTATGGACGTAAGTAACACTACAAGTTGAAGAGTAAACGTTCTAATCACCTAATAGTTAATAGATAGTCTGACACTAATAGTGAATTATTGTATCTTTACAACAAGCACGGTGCTACAAACATTTTAACGGGATCATATAAATTGCAACGTTTGTTGTTATAACTGTTTTCAGTGTGATTGAAGATAATAGATAGGGATTTGAATGGCTATAACCATCATTCTTGGGTAACTGCGAGGAATATCATGTGGAAGTTGCTTTTCTTTCACACTTTTTTCACGGATTACGTAAATTATCTCATTTCCTAAGATTTTGGTACTAAAGATACTAAGGCTTCCACGCTTTTCGACTAGGTGGGCTCAGATTTCTCCTGATGTATTCACAGTTATATTGCAACATTTTGTCAACCTTGTATAAGCATAATGTTTTTAGTCTTTCTGTGGGTGATTTTTTATAACCCTGCCCCTTTATAAAATATTCGGGTTTTTACCGATACAACATACAAAATAAGCTGCTAAAGCAAAAGTAATGATATTCAGTTTTTGTGTTTGACGAAAGTATTGAAGTGTAGTAGTTGATGGTCTCACTAAATAACTCAGAGATTGCTTGAAAAATGAAAAGCCTTACGCTTTTTTCGGTGTCCTAAATTTTGAGGTAACCGTTACATGATATACTTCTCTATTATTGATGTATGCTGATTTCATCATATTCAATTTTCTAGCTATTTCCCATGAACTTGCTGAGCATAGTGATAGCACACGACATTGTGTATTTTTTTAATCTGAAGAGATGGAAATTTTAGTAGCACCTTGTGCTTCGTGAAAATTCTTATTTTTACAGTTCCCTTCATGGATGTCGAATAGAAAGTCTTTTTCTTAAATACACCCTCTCCCCCAGATGTTGGTCCCTTCCGAGGAGAGGCGGGACGCAGAAGCCCTATACAACCCCATGACCTTGTCAGAAGTCCATGGAAACTACAGTACGGTGAGTACATTACTACCTCTGCGACTGTGCTTGGTGCTATACTGCGCATCCATTACGGCATGAACAATTTTCGCAGTTTTCTTCCGCTTGAGCTCAGTGAGGAATTGGATGTGAAAATTCCATAGTGCAGTTGGTTATATGCACACGGACGTCCTATATACATAGACCGAAAAATCATCCCTTGTCTGTCAAGCAGATTTTCGAGGGAACTCTTAACATTGAAATATACTGACATCAGTGACTCCATTTATGGAGAGGAATTAATTTTGATTTTTGCCTGGACGATGGTCATTTTAGGACCACCTAGGAATCTCTAAAAGGAAACACTTTCACATGGGACCTCTGACATTTTTTTTCTTACCATAGAAGACTAAGTGTTCCATCCTACGGACACAGGGGAGTAGAAAACGTGAGGAAAAAATAAAACAACACTAACGGGGATCGAATTTCAGACCCCTGACAGTGGAACACTACGTTGAGCTACTGAACTTCATATTTTCGCAGTTATTTCCAATCATCAACACCCTTAAAAGAGGACAAAGAGCATATTATTTGTTTAAAAGCCTGTGCATACTGTAAAAACAATGTACCCCAAACGTGTAGGACTGTCAAACGCAACGTTTGCAGTCTGGGCAAGAGAATTCTACGAAGTTCCTTTTTTTATCGAAAATGTATTAATATGTCAAAAGAAGTTTGCCTTGCAAGTAAACGCTTCAAACCTGCTTTAAAATAAATCTAAAATCTATGATCACGGTCCAAAGTATTTATACAGCAATCAAACAAAGGAATAAGGCACGTTTGTAGTAGAAATTTCGGATTAATTTGTTGTTTCAAACTTTAAAGTTGTTAATTTGACTTTATATACAATTCCCTTCATTGATACCCTGACTCCACAGCAGTATCGAAATATGATTTACATCTGGAATTATTCCCTTTTTTTAAAGTACTTTGTTTTTCTCAATCGAGACCTCGGGGCTTTCGTGTCGTATCTCCATTTTTAACAGTGAAAATGTGATATCTTCTTAAGCTCACTCTTCGTTATGAACCGTTTTCACTGTTATTAAAAATGGAGATACGACAAGAAAGCATTGGGGTTGGGAAGTTGATATAGAGACCTAGTAGCAGCGGGAAAAGAGGGCAGTGACACTAAATTTTTCCTCATTCTAAGTTTGTTTTAACGATATTATTTTTCAGAAAGTAGCCATGTCTCTTGGTGTTACTCTCTAATCAAGTCATCATTATTCCCCTTTAGAATTCTTTTATATTGAAATTTTACGATCTCCATCAAACACTGAGCATTTTCTGTTCATTTGTGTATGTGTGTGTGTGTGCGTGTGTTTGAAAACAAACCAATGAACAAAACAAAACAGGGAGAATTCGACTTCATGCGGTTCGTGACATCGTTGCTGACAGCCCCAGAAATAGGAATTACAGACTTCACAGAAAATGAAACCATCATCAACATCTCGCCCTCTTACTTTCGTAACTTCTCGGAACTCATCAGGAACACTCCGAAAAGGTAACGCAAATCTTTCTTCATTTATTCCCTCTTTTGCTTTTTCTAGAATAAATACAATCGGTGCTCATGACATTTGAAACCCTCTTGCCAACCTCTCCACCCCCCCCCCC